TACGTGGCGAGTGATTAGATAGCAGAGAGAGCGTAGTGTTGAAGAGGGCACAGCGATGAGAGTCGCATCAATGCTCAAATCAACGGGCAAGGAAGGGGTCCCATTTCTCGGGTTCTGGGCCGTTTCTCATGGTTCTTCCTTCTTTCGTGTACCACTCACCATCCCTAGGTTAATTTGAAATGGGTTGCTTTTTCATCGTGAATTCGTCCTTTAAGATTTTCAAAATATTAGCTAATTTACTAGTTTAAAATATTTCAGAGCCAGAAGAAAGCGCTACGTACCGAATCATTGCCTATTCCAAAACAAACACTTTTGGAATTCCTTTTGGAATACCTTTGTGTTTTACATTTCTTAATAATTAGTTTACCAAAAGGTCTAAGTCTTGTCGCATTCCGACGTCACCATAGATCCGCCATGTTTCAACTGTATTTATCGCTGTCGTTTAACTTACTGTACCGTAGGGGAAACGATCATGATCCTGCCGTCAATGCTATCAACCCCTCGAACCCAGAGTAGGTAGCTAAGCCCCGTAGGGACTCGACGTCAGTGTAGCTGCGTACTCGCAGTAGGTAAGGACGTTCTCAGTTTGTAGCTCATTCGCATGGAAAAATTTGACCTCGGCGACCTATCATGCCTCAAAGCTGGCGGGTCCGGCGATCTCCGCCCACCGATCATCTGATCACTCGCCGTAGTTCAATACGTGGCGAGTGATTAGATAGCTGAGAGAGCGTAGTGTTGAAGAGGGCACAGCGATGAGAGTCGCATCAATGCTCAAATCAACGGGCAAGGAAGGGGTCCCATTTCTCGGGTTCTGGGCCGTTTCTCATGGTTCTTCCTTCTTTCGTGTACCACTCACCATCCCTAGGTTAATTTGAAATGGGTTGCTTTTTCATCGTGAATTCGTCCTTTAACGTGTTGAATTCCACTGCAGGAGCCCGCGAAGACTTGCCTCGTCCGGATCGCCGCGCAGCCCGCCGCGCGATTCGCCGCGTGCAACCCCGGACGCACCAAAAGTCCGGCCCCCTTTCCTCCTCCCCATTGAAAAAGCTAACACCTCTCATACTCCGCTTCCCCTAGCCTAGTCTTAATCGCAAAATCACTGTCAAGTGGCAGTGCACTCTGCTTCACGCGCTTAAAGCTCTCTGATGACATGTATGTCGTCAAGTCTGTAGTTACGACACTCCAGTTCACAGGAAACAAGAGTGACTCATCCCTCACACTTCAGGTTCGCGTCACTGTCCTTTGGAAAGCGCTCCGACTTCGATCTTGATGATCCTAGGTACTCGTGCAAACTGCTCTGTATCATACTGCAAATCATTCAACCTTTACAGATTCACATCCATGTCTTTCGGAAAGCGTAACGTCATTGATTTTGAAGATCCCAGGTACTGACTGATACTTTTTAGTTACACACTAGCTCACTGTGGTCTTCCAGGTTTGCTTCCATGTCGTTTGGGAAACGCTCCGGATTCGATTTGGAGGATCCCAGGTACTACCGATATTAGCACATGTACAGTCATGCTCCATATATGATCTTACCTGCTTGGGCTAAGGAGGTGTAGCGGCGTGTGACGCCGCATACCACGAGCATGATCCAGAGGTCAAACCCCGGATCGAACCTTGTCCAGTCCAACTAAGGCTTCCATCCCTCCAGAGTCATTACCACACTATGGGGGATAAAAACACTGGGTTGTTATTGTCATACACACATCAACTCGCCCCTCCAAGCCACTATAGGCCGATGTCATAGTTTGCGAATCGAGCGATTCGCTAGCGAATCGCTGGATCCGAGCGTTGCGCCAGCGAATCGAACGTTGCACCAGCGAATCGAACTTTGCGCCAGCGAGTCGAACGATGTACCAGCGAGTCGAACTAGGTACCAGCGACTCAATAGTGGCGGGACCCAACGTTCAAAGGAAGCCCGCCACTTTCAAACAGTGTCACGTGACAGTGGACGCTGTTTGAAAGTGGCGGGACTTTGCAGTGGACACTGTTTGAAAGTGGCGGGCTTCCTTTAAACGTTGGGTCCCGCCACTATTGAGTCGCTGGTACCTAGTTCGACTCGCTGGTACATCGATTCGACTCGCTGGCGCAAAGTTCGAATTCCGCTGGCCCGCGATTCGCTAGCGAATCGCTCGATTCGCAAACTATGACATCGGCCATACAGGGGGGGGGCAAAAAAAAGAGTCACTTCTCCTCCACATTCAAAACGGAATTAATTTTAACTGCGAAACCAAACCAAATGAGCCCAACTGAATATTAAAGAGCACATTCTAATCTATCAAAAGTTACATGACAGCCTTCTACACCGACGACATCAGAAGATTTTCCCACGGAAACATGGTTCACGGTACGAGCTCAACGAGGTCGTCGAGGTACCATAGACCATTACGACGTCCCTGGTCAAAAGCGGTCTTGCACAGTCACAGCTAGTGTCTCTTAGAAGCTATTCACCAGTTAATCGGTTGAAGAAATTATGTAGCAGCTTCAGGCCGGAGTGATTCGAATTTGAGGTGAGCCTCGTTGAGCTCGACGGTGACGGCAGATGACGTCATATTCTGAAGACGGTGGGGCAGTGAAGAGGGGCTGCTTCTGCTTATGGAGGGACACCTAAGGGAATATTCTGCCGTAAAACATTCATCAACAACGGCATCCTGTGCGACGAAAAATTTGATGATGTGCGCCATGGGCGAATTGACTTTTTTGGCCCCCTGTATGGCTATATCGCACTCAAAGGGCAAGTGCTTTATCTTATTCTTCCTTTCAGATTTGCTTCCATGTCGTTCGGAAAACGCTCCGGATTCGATTTGGACGATCCCAGGTATCACCATTCAGAAGATCAAAAGAGTCCCGTTGCATATTTGATTTTACCTATTTCGTATTATTACTGAGACCTTATGGTACTCGCCGAAAAATGTCAAGAATTTACGCGAAAAAAGGGATTTCGCTTTTTTATCAAAAAAAAACAACCAAGAACCAAGAAAAAAATCTTGCGGAACCCGAAAGCACTTTTTCATAGATCGAGAAGCTGAATTCAATGGTATCTTCAAATTTGGAAGAGCTCTTCAGTGAACGTTATAATGAGAAACCAAAAAAAGCAAAATCGCGAATTTTCAATGGTTTTACGGCAAGTAGCGTATCACTTCTCTTAAGGTTTGCGTCCATGTCGTTCGGAAAACGCTCAGGCTTCGAATTGGATGATCCCAGGTATCAGTTTGATATTCGCCACAGATTTCCACCAACTCATTTTCTTTTAGGTTTGCATCTATGTCGTTCGGAAAACGCTCAGGCTTCGATTTGAGAGACCCCAGGTAATCTTGGTGATGTATCTTCAGAATTCATCATCCATGTCAACACCTAATCTCACCTTCTCACAGGTTCTACTCAATGTCATTCGGAAAGCGACGATGAATTGACCTGCTAAACGAGAACTGCAATGACCAGAATGTATCTCCACTTGCTCCTGCATACTACAGAATATCCTACCGTTGAATGAGTGTCGGCTATAGCCATAGCCATAGAATAAAATGTTAAGCGAAAATATAAATATTCTGCACACCGAATCTCATAATGAACAGAAAATGCTTCTGCAGTTCAGTTGGATAGGGGGTCGACCCGTATCCAGCTTTGAAAATCCGGATTACGCTATCCCCCTCCAACAGTCATGTGTCTGCCGGGTGGGCAAAAATAGTTTCAAGTTGAATTGCTCGTGAAAGTCCGATGTAGCTGAAAAGACCAATTTTACGGAGCATTCCGTGATAAGTCGAAGATCGCAGAAGAGGAATACAGTGGGGCCAAAAAGTCACTACACCCTCCCGACCACATTCAAAACGTTATTGACTACACATTGCTAAATCCAAACCGAATGAGCCAATTTGAATATTGAAAGAGCACATTCTAATCTATCAAAATGCACAACAGCCTTCTACACCGACGACATCAGAAGATTTTCCCACGGAATGCACGGTACGAGCTCAACGAGGTCGTCGAGGTACCATAGACCATTACGACGTCTCTGAAACGCTGGTCAAAAGCGGTTCTTGCATAGTCACAGCTAGTGTCTCTAGAAGCTATTCACCATTAACCGATTGAAGAAACTGTGTAGCAGCTTCAGGTGGGAGGACATCCACGGAAATATTTTGCCATGAAACTTCTATCAACAACGGCACCCTGTGCGACAAAATTTAATGACACAGTGCGTACCAAAAGTATGTGGACACCCTGGAATCGATTCTCAGGGGTCAGCTAAAGGCTTTTATGTCATGAAACCTTCACCATTCAACTCCTAGTGGTCGATAACCTACAATGACATTTTCGGCAAAAGATTTCGTTCTAACTTAGCGAACTATTTTTCATGGAAGAAAGTTTTTTCTTTGTATCAAAATTATGTGGACACCCTGAGCAGATGAAGTTTCTGCACCAATTCCCTATTTTTACTTTTCTTTTCGTTACTTATTCTGCCTTCATTCTCTACGACCAGGCATCTTTATTGCTAGGAGGAGACGGATGTGAGTCTCATATTACTGAAGCTTGCAATTCCGAAATCACACGTCACCCTGGTCGTGCGTCCTCGTATGTTGAAAAGAGATCCAGAATCCTGATGATAAGTTCTCGACAATGACTCGGGGGTCCTGATCCCGTTATCATTATTCAAAAGAAAGAAGAATAGCTTCGTCAGGAGTGTCAATCCGCGTTACCTGCTATGACTTCGCGTTAAACCACCTGAATTTCCCCGTGTTAAAGGCACGAGTCGGGATTGAATTGATGCGTTATTTTATTCAAACATTAGGCAAGGGGTGCAATGAGGAACATTAGTGAGGAGAAAAAGCAAAAAGCACCATAGAAAACACTAAATTTCCCTTAGGAGGCCGGCCGTAGTACGACGGAGAGACACAGCGCTGCGAGGAGAGGGAGAACGCGAGAGACAGTACGCGAGAGGACGCAGAGACCACGTATGCTGTGGTAGATTACGCCCACAGCCTTCCAAGGAGACGGTCTTGAAACAGGGAGTGGACCTTTGGCTGAGAGGAAGTCCAGAGTGGATGACCTGGTGCAGAAAATTGCATAGGATGTGGACAGGATGGACTTGACCTGGTGCAGAAAATTGCATAGGATGTGGACAGGATGGGAAAACGTTGGACATCTACCATTCCTTATCATAAGTGCAATTCAGATGAGTCGTTCATATATTGTTTATTCTTACAAGGTTGTCCCTCATGTCGCCATGGCCATATTGAATATATGAGATTTATTCCCCCATCCCAAACGCATCCCGAAACGCTGCTTCAAATCTGCCTTTCAATCTGCTTTCAGCAGATCCGAAAGGCAGATTTGAATCAGCGTTTCAGGATGCTGCGAACGGAAATAAAAAGGCATTCTTTCCTGTGTAGTCTCCACTATAAGACACTAAAAGGCAATAGATACATGAAGCCGCTGTGGGATAGTGGCGCAGGTGGTAGCGGTGCGGACTAGAAGGCGAGAGCAATCACGTGATCAGATCCAAGCGATATTTGTCGTTTCGCTTTTCTTCTGTAGGATGGCTTAAAGAGCTTTGTTGATCTTACTTCATCGATTATAGCTTTAGATCGCCTGTATGATGACTCTGAGCGCAATTCCTAACATGATCGGGTAGATAGTCATGACACCTATAGCACAAGCGCGAAACGTCCTTCCATCAAAGGGGTACGATTTTCGTGATAACTGGAAATATCTGGTAACAAATTCTTAGCCAGATCCAAGAATTGTACCCCTACCCCGTAGCAGTCGCTGGTATTGCGCCTCAACGCGTAGTACTGGGGCTGGGCAATCATTGACGACGACGAGCGCTTGTTTAAAAATAATGCCATGTGAGTCCTGTGATGATGCCACCAGATAGGCCGGACACTATTTTTTTCATTTTGAAATGCACAGGTTGAAGGTGAGTTTCATCCCAAAATCAGCACTAGCTGATACCTTGACGGTTGGATAGCGACCCGATTTTTTCGAAGTTGGGTCGAAATGTCGATTTTGCCAATTGTCTCTAGTGAGTAGTCTGACTTCCTGAACACAAATATCCTATTTTTTGTTTGTTAACTGCTGTTTTTGGGTCTGAGAGGGAAATGGTGCCCGGTAGCGTAACTGGTAGCGCACTTGCCCGGAAAGCGAGAGGTGCGGGTTCTAGTCCCGCCTGGGGCGAAAGTTTTGTTCACAACCCAGCATTCTTGTGAAACAAATATCCTACTTATTTGGCGCGAATGCGCCGCGCGTTACGGGCAGTGCCAGCAGTCATCGGCAAGTGCCCAGATCTCATCGTAAGCTCATCTGAAGGGTTATTATAGACAAACACTGATGAAGTAACATGTGCAAGTCGTTTTGGAAATGTTGCGCGCAAAAAAAGGAGTAATCTCGCAAAGAAACTGATACCACGAGCCCTTGCTCAAGAGCCCGCACCGGTTCCGCAGCCTTTTCAGCATCATGACGCAGTCGTTTAGCGGATTTGGAAGGCAGATTTGGAATCAGCGTGTCAAGATGCATATGGAGGTACACATCTCATA